ATCTCTGAAAAGAAGAACGGCAGAAAACACCAGTTGAAGATTTTACGAAGCAGGAACAATGGGATGGACGTGCAGTCCAGCCCAGGTCTTAGGCATGAGCTGACTCGTGGAGTCGGGAAGTCATCCAGGAACTCTAACAGTGGAGAGGCCTGTCCCAGTGGGAACAGCAACTACCAATGCAGTGATGGTGGGAAAACCTTTAGTCAGAATTCTATACTTATTCAGCACCAGACACTACACCAGAGAGAAAAGCCTTACAAATGCAGTGAATGTTGGAGACGATTTAAACATAAATCTAACCTTCTGGCGCACCAAACAATTCACGGTGGAGAAAGACCGTATGTGTGTACCGAATGTGGGAAATCCTTTGGTTGCAATACTGACCTCATTCAACACCGCAGCATCCATACTGAAGAAAAGCCTTTTACGTGCACTGAATGTGGACAGGGTTTCAAGTATCAGTGCAAACTCATTCAACATCACAGACTCCACAGTGGAGAAAGGGTCTATAAATGTGAAGAATGTGGGAAATCCTTTGTCCGAAATGCCCAGCTCAGGGACCACTTACTTTTTCACACTTCTGAAAAGCCTTTTAAGTGCAGTGAGTGTGGGGAATCATTTAGGTCCAGACCCACCCTTAAAAGTCATTCCCGAGTTCACACCGGGGAAAAGTCCCATGAGTGCAGTGAATGTGGGAAAGTGTGTCTGAAGAAATCAAAGCTTATAAATCACAGGCGAATTCATACTGGTGAAAGACCTTTTGAGTGCAGTGAATGCGGGAAAGTGTTTAGGCAGAAATACAGCCTTATAAGTCACTGGCGCACTCATACTGGAGAAAGACCTTATGAGTGCAGTGAGTGTGGAAAAGCATTTACGGAAAAATCTAGCCTTCGAAATCATAGGCGAATTCATTCTGGAGAAAAGCCTTATGAGTGCAGTCAGTGTGGGAAAGCATTTACAGAAAAGTCCACCCTTAAAAATCATTACCGAGTTCATTCTGTGGATAAGCCTTTTGAGTGCAGTGAATGTGGCAAAGTGTATAGGAAAAAATCCAGCCTTAAATGTCATAAGCGAATTCATACTGGAGAAAGACTTTTTGAGTGCAGTGAATGTGGAAAAACATTTACTGAAAAATCCAGCCTTATCAGTCATAGGCGAATTCATACTGGGGAAAAACCTTATGAGTGTAGTGTATGTGGAAAAGCATTTACAGAAAAGTCCACCCTTAAAAATCATTACCAATTTCATTCTGGAGAAAAGCCTTTTGAGTGCAGTGAATGTGGCAAAGTGTATAGGAAAAAATCCAGCCTTAAATGTCACAGGCGAATTCATACTGGAGAAAAACCTTATGAGTGCAGTGAATGTGGAAAAGCTTTTATAGAAAAGTCTAGTCTTTTTTATCATTGTCGAATTCATACTGGGGAAAAGCCTTTTGAGTGCAGTGAATGTGGGAAATCTTTTACCAAAAACTCTTATCTTACAAAACACACAGAAAAAGTTCACAGCAGAGGACAGCAATGAGTGTGGGAGTCTTTCCTGGCAGTTCCAGCCTCATTTAACATCAGAGAGTTCACACTGCAGCAGTCTTTTTTAAAAAAATTTTTTATTATTTTTATGTGTATGAGTGTATTGCCTACATGTATGTAAGTGCACTCGTGTCATGCAATGCCCTCGGAGGTCAGAAAATGACACTGGATCCCCTAGAACTGGAGTTATGGATGGTTGTTAGCAGCCATGTGCTGGGAACCGAGCCTGGGTCTTCTGTAAGAACAGCCAGTGTTCCTAATTGCTGAGCCATATCTCCAGTCCCTTATTACATGTATTTTAACTTTACTGCCTTTGCTGACCCACAGTCTGTGTCAAAGCCCCAGAGGCTTGCATTTCCAGTCTCTGATGAAGCTCCTGCTGCTTCTTCCTAACCTATCTGTGCACCAGCTTTATCAACCAGTGAATATCTTTGATTCAGTGAACACGGACAATACCGTAGTTGTCTAATGTAATTCCCCAGCAGAGTGTCCACTGCACAAAATGCTTCAGTGCTTCAGTTTGGAGATCCTCTGCCCGTTCTTCCATCTCTAGCCCCAGAGATCTCACAGTGCTGGAATGAGTCACACAGGCACTGATTGATCATGGGAAAGCCTTTGAGCAAAGGTGTGCTCTCACTAGCAACAGTAACAACCCAGATATGTTTATGAATGCAGGGAATGTAGAAAAGCTTCAGCCAGTGGCCAGCTTTGTTCAACCTTTGGCGTGAACCTGACCTAAAACAGAAGTTTTGAGGGTAGCCTTTGTGAGGCAGCCAGAACTGAGACTTCTCATCAGATTGGCATCTTAGAACAGCAGGAGGATTTTTGCTATCAGTTCCCAGTGAGGGGCCCTTGCCATGGTGTCACTGAAAGAGTTGAGCCCTGTGTCCTGACTGCTCCAGACTAGAATGGAGTGTCCATGTTATTGAGTTTGGATGGGTGGGGAACATAATAATGGCCTTGGTTTAAATGGCTGATGATTGTTCTTCTAATTGAATGCTACATTTCTCTAAATAAATGTTCATTTACGCTATGCTCTCGATGACCACTTCAGAGATTTTCTGCTGTGCCTAATTTTCCCAAGTTTTTCTGGACACCAACTCCAGGTAGGTCCCAATGTTCTTGCATTGGGTGCCATTTAAATGTTTTAAAAACATTTTTTTTTTTTATCTTTTTGAGACAGGATCTCCCTGTAGCCCCAGCTGACCTGGAACTCTCTTTGTAGACCAGGCTGGCCTTGAACTCACAGAGATCTGCCAGCCTCTACCTCCTGAGTTCTGGGACTAAAGGCATGTGCCACCACGCCTGGCTGAAATGTTTTAAATTTTTTAAGAAGTTGACCAGATTCCCTTGCACATGGTGCTGTAGTTCGTTTTTCCTGCTGGAATATATCAGACACCAGTTTTTCTGCCATTTTGTAACTCGAGCTATTCACTTTTTTTAGTAGGTATGTGGTGACACATAATTGTGGTTTTAATTGTATTTCTCTATGCATTTGTGTTCTTTTGGTCTTTTTGAGACAGGGTCTCCCTGTAGCATCAGTAGTGTTTCTGTTTTAAAAATATTATATTATTCTTTTATGTGCATGAGTGTTATGCCCCGATGTATGTAAGTGCACCTGTGTCACGCAGTGCCTGAGGAGATATGAAGGGAGCCCTGGATACCTTAGAACTGGACTTACAGATAGTGGTTAGCTGCCTTGTCAGTTATGGGAATCAAACCTGGTCCTTGGCAAGAGCAGCCAGTGCTCTCAAGGGCTGAACCATCTCTTCAGCCATTTTTTTCTTTCTTTTGAAAAACAGGGTCTCAGCCGAGCATGGCAGTGCATTCCTTTAATCTCAACACTTGGGAGGCAGAGGCAGGTGGATCTCTGTGAGTTCAAGGCCAGTCTGTTCTACATAGAAATCCAAACAGAAAAAGACAAAAAAAAAAAACAACACAAAAAACAAAAAACAAAAACCCTCCCCACGGTACTCTGCAGCTCATAGAAGATTCTCTACAGTAGACACCATATTGACATGGAAATCAAGTCCTCCAAAATAGAAAAACTGGTATATCTCCCAGTGTTCTACCTGACAGCAACAGGATGGAGCTAGAGACAAGCAGTAAAGGAAATGACAGACAGTATGCAGACTAAACAGCACACTAGTGAAGGACAAATAGTGAAGAAATGAATGCCAAACACTTGGTTCTCCACCAACTACCCACGTGAATATCAATTGTAATGCTTGTGAAAATCAAGTTAGTGTGAAGGAAAGGTGTATCAGAATTTTAAAAAGTTCCCCAACAGAAATATTTGTGAAGTTTGTGAAACGTTTTTCAAAGAAATGCAAGTGAGGGTGTAAAGGCTGGTATTAAGATACATCAAATGCAGCCTGGAGAGATGGCTCAGGAGTTAAGAGCACTGGCTGCTCTTGCAGAAGACCTGGGTTCAAATCCCAGCACCCACATGGAGGTTGACAACTATATATGACTCCAGTTCTAGGGGATCCAGCTCCCTCTTTTGGCCTCTGGGGCAGTGCATGACACAGATGTACTACATAGATGCAGGCATTACACATATAAAACTAAATAAATTAATTTTGAAAAGGTACAGTAAATGGCTCATGAGCCAGGTGTGGTGGTGCACTACTTTAATCCCAGAACTCGAGAGGGAAACAGATCTCTATGAGTTCTAGGTTAGCCCTGCCTCCATCCCGAGACCGCGTCAAAAAAA